GCATTAGCAGTTTGGAGCTTCTCAACTGTAGACAATGGTATTCAGTGAGAAAATCTGATATTTGAAACAGTTTGAAAGCATTTGTTAAAAAATTAGGTAACAATGAATGAAGATAATTCACTCAACAGCTAACTGATGTGATCAGTGACTTGCTGAAAGTTGCCATTAAAAACTTGGGTTTTTACAGTCTCGAAAATCTGGAAAAGGGTAAGCTTTTGGTTCACCTTCTACAATAGAGGTGTTAGCTTATGCTGATATAGAATAACCAAATTTATTAATGAACTGGTGTCTGAGCACTAAACAGATAGCAAGGTGATCATTAGCCTTCTATTTGATAAGGTAGTTTGGAGGAAGAAGAGTAACTTAAAAAACTTCAACCGCAGTCCATATGACTGCAGCCAGATAGTAGGAAGAAAATTTCCAGCTAAAGGTTACTTTGGAAACATCTGCCTATGGCTTCTACTGTTTTAAGTCCAGGCATGCAGATGCCTGGAGTAGTTTAGTTATGCTTGCCTTGCCACATAACAGGGGCCAGGAGTAGGTCTTCTGTCAGGAACCTTTCACCACAGTATTTTTCTGTTTTTTTTCAGAGCTGCTTTTCTTTTGTGAGGAAAATTAGGAGGGAGAACAAAACTGGGAGCTTGCTTTGAAGGTTTTGAAGGCTTTTTGACTTGACTAGTAACTAAAACCATATGCATAAAAGAGAATAATTATTGTCTTGGGAACCTAGGCCAGCCTGCTGTTCATTTTACATCAACGCCAGTTTCCATACCTATTTACTCAAAATGAATGATGAAGTTCCCATTGCCTTCAGTACTGTTGCTTGAAAGTCTGGTGTCTGGTCTTTGACTTGGTTGTCTGTTTGAGTTAATGTTATGTGTGAAGTGTTATTTACCTGCAGTTTATGTATCTAAAAAAATATATGCAGGAACATCATAAAAGGGAAACTGTCAGTAAATCAGAGCAAAATTATTTTTCCCTTTTAGAAGAGATATATTGTTTGTTTGAAAAGGGCAAGAGCAAGAACCAGTTTAGTTTTCACAACTCAATTTTGTCTTTGTTAAGAAAAAATATTTTTGCTTTATTAACTTTTTTCTTCTTTCTCCTTGTAATTCTGACCATTATCAGGATTTCTTCAAAGTATGCACCTGATGCTTTAGGTGCATCAGGTAGTTGGCAGCTCCATTACTGAAGGCAGCAGAAACCTGTTAAGGAAAGACTGAATTAACAGGTGTTTCTTCAAGCTGTAAGTTGCTGAGGAGAGTTATAAGATGTCTTGAAGCACTGCTGTATGGAAAAAAAAGGAGTATACTTTTATTAATATCCATGATTCTTGGACCAGCAGCGATGGCTTTATGCTTCTGCAAAAGCAATAGAGGGAAGACATTAGCAAAAAAGAATAAAGCAAGGCAAATGAAGAATTAAAACATATCTCCAAGACGGGGTGCAGAATCTTAATGGCTGGAGACTTTTAAAAATGAGGAAGACATGCTCTTTCCCCAAAGCAGGTACCTTGTGTACTTTGTGTAACAGATGTGTGCTGCTATCATAATATGAAATAAGGACAGACAATTCCAACAGCTTTGTTAATTTGGCTTTTGTTCTTAAGGTAGAAAACCAACACATCAGACAGTAGTAGTTAAATATATACAAGCATTACTTGTACAAAAAGTTATATAAATTCAAGTTTGCTGTTCCGTTTTCTCTTTCAAGATTCCTAAAATAACCAGCAATCCTTATCTTACTGAGATGCTGCCAAGTCACAATTCAGAAGACAGACATGTGATATTAAATCAACACAGTGGCCTCTCCAGATCAGATCCTTCATGTTTATCCTGTGCACAGTTGCACAGATACTATGGAACATGTGATCACCTTAATATGTTTTGCTTTTAAACAAAAGAAAATACTTCCCCAAATACTTTGCTTTTTGTTAACTAATGTACCAGAATTTCCATCACATTGTCATCATCATCATTGTTATTATTATGTTATTAAGGAATTGTCCTTCATTCCATGCATAACTACTATTTCACAAGTTAAAAACATCGTTCCTTCCTCGTGTCATGGTTTATAAAGCACTCTGTGCACAGTGAAGCAGATCCCCAATTAAATGCAAGCGCTATTAAAATGAAGAGAAATACACTATTACTGTTGATTTTAGAGGAACAGAATTCTGGGGAGATTTAAAAAAATGCCAAAATAGTTTTATCTGTACAATTATTAATATTGCACTTTTTATACAAGAAATTCTAATAAATATACAGAAAAGATACACATTTACATACATAGAAAAGAATTATTCTTTTTTAAATAAAAAAATTACACTGGTGCTTAGCAACATTATTTCTTGAAAACCCATTTGTACTAAGAGCATTCATTGCCAGTTGTGTTTTGAAATAAGCCAATTTGAGACAGCCTAATGTCATGAACCTGACACTGACCTCAAAAATAGACTCCCAGTTTTGCTGAAAAATCCACACGTCACAGAAATTGCAGCATAGCAGAACTTGAACAGCATTTCATTAGCATACCACAACACACTAGCACTGCCAGGGGTTACAGAAGAGGCACAACCACTCTCTTTAATTTAGAGGTCTTGAACCAAAACCTGATATCCAGGTAGTTCTTTAAAGCTCCACAATTCTCAACCCCCTACTTTCCAGGTTTTCCTCCAATTTTAGGGCCCTATTCTAAGCAGAGCAGAGAATGCACAGAACTTAAAGCATGAAGCACTTCACTGGCTGAATAACCACTGCAGCTGGCCAGGAGGAAAGACTCACAACCTGCATGCAAAATTGTGCTGTGGGTGTGATGTTTGAGTCCCACTTTTTAGATTGTATCATGTTATACGTGGACTTAAATATCTGTAGCTTGTTGTGTATCTCACAACCTGCTTTGTTGTGAGAGGCAGCTGGAGAGGAGCAAGTTTGTTAAAAATTATTTGCATTAGTACCCTGGGGCTGATGCTTAATCCATTCTGTTTCTACTGACTGGGAACAACTACGAGAAATCAGAATCAAGCTCTTTTCTACTACATGTCCAAAAGGCTTCACTGTCATGAGAGGGAAATTTTAGCATTATTAACATTTAGCATTATTTAGTATTAGTAGGTTAGGAAAACTCACTTTTTCAAGTTCCTCTCCAAAACTCCAGGCCTGAAAGCACCTGAACTCTGGGAAATGGTACTCCTCTCTTTTCTAAATAAGTGTTAGTAGGATGAACTATGCAAAGTATCGCCTGTTACCACAGACAGTTTCTATCTTTCCTGTCTGTGCTGATTAGGGAACAGCATTTGCAGGTTTGTACTACAGTCTGTCAAGCAGATCATACTTTCTCTCCTTTGCCTGGATAATAATTAACATCATCACCTCATCTCTGTGCTGAGGGCAACCCTTCAATCCCCAATTCTCCCTCACAAGCTCAAATTTGGAACATTTTCAGGTGTCTTTTAGATCCACTTATAGATCATTGTTCAACTTCCCCAGATACCAGATCCTCAAAGATCACAAGGATGTCCCACTGAAATAATTTCCAGGCCTGATGTGAGAAGGAGAGAGTGGTTTAGAAATTAAAAAGAAGGGCTACAATCTTGGATGTAACAAATAAGTTTACAAAGCAGAATCATATGCTTATGTTCTCAAGGTAGTCTAAGATGGATGAAGTATCCGTATAATGCACAGTTTAGTTTAGCCTTTTTTTTTTCTCCAGTACACTATGACCAGTCAAACTGAGGGGATTGAGTGCATCCTCGGTCAGTTTGCAGATGACACCAAGTTAGGTGGGAGTCTTGGTCTGCTGGAGGGAAGGAAGACTCTGCAGAGGGGTCTTGATAGACTGGATTGGTGGGCTGAGGACAACTGCATGAAGTTCAACAAAGCGAAGTGCTGGGTCCTGCCCTTGAGCCACAACAACCCCATGTAACAATGCTACAGGCTTGGGGAAGAGTGGCTGGAGAGATGTTCAGCAGAAAGGGACTTTAGGAGGGCTGGTCAGCAGCATGAACATGAGTCAGCAATGCCCAAGTGGCCAAGAAGGCCAATGACATCTTGGCCTGGATCAAGAATAATGTGGCCAGCAGGACCAGGGAAGCGATTGTACTGCTGTACTTGCTGCTGGTGAGGCTGCACCTCGAATCCTGTGTTCAGTTTTGGGCCCCTCACTACAGGGAAGACGCCAAAGTGCTGGAGCATGTCCAGAAAAGGGCTACAAAACCAGTAAAAGGTCTAGAAAACACATCCTATAAGGAGCAGCTGAGGGAGCTGGGGTTGTTCAGCTGGGAGAAGAGCAGGCTCAAGGAGTATGTCATTACTCTCTACAACTGCCTGAAAGAAGGTTCTGGTGCAGTGGGGATAGGTCTCTTCTGTCACATTTCAAATAGAAAAGACGAAAGGAAATGCCCTCAAATTGTGCCAGGGGAGATTCTGATTAGATATTAGAAAAAAAAAATCACTGAAAGAGTGGCTAGGCATTGGATTAAGTCACCCAGGGAGGTCGTGGAGTCACCATCAGAGTGTTCAAGAGGCATCGAGATGTGGCACTTGGGGATATCGTTTAGGGATGATTATAGTGGTGCTGAGTTGATGGCTGGACCAAGTGATCCGGAAGATTTCTACCAACCTTCATGATTCTGTGATTCTGTAATGTGATGCTAGGTCTTTACTCTAGTCCTCTACCTTACCTGTCTCTTGGCGTATCCCCCAGGCATGTACATGGATAATGGGGAAGCCCCACTCTTCTCATGCCCATTTCTGGTGGCATTGGTCTCTCTGACTCTTTATGGTCTACCCTCATGACCATGTTTTGCTGCATTCTGTCTCCCAGATTCATAAAAGGGAAAACTTTTCAAGACCCTTTACAACAATGATTTGGTAAAAGATGTTCTTTTTTTTTCTTTTCTTTTAAAGGGAAATAAATAAATAAAATGAAAAAGATATTTCCATTCCATTTGTTTTTTCTGCAAAAGCCCTTGCCTCAGTGAAGCAAAGATGTGATCCCCTTGTTCCTCCATTTTCATTTTGTCTGTCTTCAAGATTTTCCACAAGTCCCACAGCAACGTGACTTAAACTGGGTGAGCTGGCAGAGTTTGAGCTGCTTCACTTTCTCACAGTACCTTGTAGTGTCTCTGCACTCCACTGCCAAAGGGGAAACAAAAAGAAGAAATGGTGATGAAACAAGGAAAGAAGGATTCCTTACCTGAGGACGTTTCCTTGGGTGACCAAGAGGAGAACCTTTGTATTGGGAGGTCTTACTACAAACATGAACTTGACTTGCTGCAAAGACTGACTGTGGACTGCAAGTAGCCAAAGGCTCAAAGGAGGACATGTTGGGCATCGTTTGCTTTTGGAGCTTGGGCAGAGGGCTTCTGAGGCTGCTCCAACCCTGTGTTTGTCATCTACGAGCATTTTAGAGAGGCTCTAGGAGTTTCCTAACAGTCGATAAAGCAAATATGAAGTAGTAAATAAAACTGGAAGCTTACTTTAACAGAGTAGCTCAGAGACACTTTGGCCTACCTCCTACATTTGATGAGCCAGTGTGTGGGAGTGTCACCTCAGCTTACCTGGTGTTGTGTTGTGTTTTTCACATGTGTTCCAGAACACAGCCCAGTATGAAGATGTTAAGACACTTTTTGAATCCCCCTGGGGCTTAGATCCTGGTAACACTTGGACAGGTTTTGAGCCCACCGCCTCCTGCTTTTTAGCTCCAGGCTGGAAAACTGTCCAGTATCCCTACAAGATGTTGGGTGGGTTGTTGCCTGAGGGAGTCCCACTTCCCATACCAAGGATGGAAACGGGAAACATTACAGGGCAGTTGTACAGCTCTCTCCAGTTATGTCTGTGCCAAATAACTCCAGTGTTATTTATATGTGGGACATTTCCATGTAGCAGAAAGAGGGTGGAGTGACAGCAAAGGTCTTGCTTGGTACCTGTAAGCTCCCTCGTCCCTTCAACTTCCATTAGGATCCCCCAAACTCATCATGAGTTTGGACCTATGTAGTCCACTTTGCCTCTACTGAGAGGCAGTGTCAGAGACGGTATGACATAGGCAAGCACAGTGATTCTGTTGCTGCATCTGCAATGATTGCACAGCTTGCAATTTAGAGGATGGGAGCGTCATTTCCAAACTGGTATATCTGTTCTCTTTAGTTGGTATGTTTTTTTTAAATATTAGTAACTTTTCTAGTCCTTCGGCAGGTCCAATTTGTTGCCCGTCACCTGAAAGAAACCAGATTTGCCTGGATTTCCCACTATCGACCTACTTACTGTATTTGGACTATAGCCATAAGTTTGATTGTGATTCATGTTTTTCTTTCCGTCTGTACCATTAACTGAAAGTTAATCATAGAATCATAGAATGGTTTGGGTTGGACGGGAATCTTGAATATCATCTAGTTCCACCCCCCCTGCCATATACAGGGACATATGCAGCATTCCTCTCTGGGACACTGAGTTTTGGATACTGGATTTTGCAGATGTTCAGGCTGGAGGTTCCCCAGGATGCCCAGCTGCAAGATCCAGTGCTGCATTTCTGAGAAACAACTCCGCCTTCTTTCCTACCCCTGCACTGCTCTGCATCTCCTCCTCCCAGCAAAGTACCATTTTCACATGGTGTGATGTTGCAGCGCTGCCAGTTTGATGGTCTTGGCCTCCAGGAGCAGTGATGCTCCATCACAGGCTTGTTGGTGCGGATGTGCACACAGTCGACACGCCGGGACTGGAAGTCGTAGTTTCCACACGTAGCTGTGCAGACAGTCCACAAGCTGACCCTCCAGTGCACACCACAGATGTCAGTCCAGCAGTTCTGTGTGCTCAACGGCCTGTGGGCAGGAGGGAGGGAAGGATGGGGGAACAGCAAGCATTGCATATCCCAAAGGTAATCCACTCAGAGCCACTGCATGGATTCAAAGGGTGCAAGTGAAGTAACAATTTTTAACTGGTCTCAAGGACCAGACCCTCAGTGGATGCACACTGGCATCCTAATACTGGGTTAAATGACCATTTGAACTATTTGAGGATTTGGCTGAAATGTCCTCTTCATGAAGAGCCAAACCAGAGGTCTGCTGAAAGATGCAATGACCACCAGTGTGGTCCAGCAGCACTTTATAACTTTTTATGGCTTTACAGCCAGTTGGAACAAAAACGATTCTCTGAAACCCCTCTTTTCCTCTCAACACAGTCTCACAGAAGAGGCAAAGGCAAACTTGGTTCATATGTATTTGTCACACAGATAATGAAAATGCATGACTAAGAACCAATGAGCCAATTACATTAATTTTCAGTCATGATCAGTCATGACTGGTATACCTAAGGCTTAGGTAAAGACAATGTCTTTACAATGTTGACAATGGAGTTTGCCCCAGTTAGAGTCTCTGTTTAAATAAGTGAGAAGAACTAGTAGCTTAAGGAGAGGTAGCACGGCCTTTCAGTCAGATTTGGCATGCACAGAAGACTTTCCAGACCCACTGGCACCTGGATCTCCTAGGAACAAATAAGGAAGCCTGGGCTTAAGCCTGATGAGATTCATAACAAATAATTGCACAGATTGCAGAATGACCTCTTTGTTACATAGGGGAAACCCGTAAGTTGTCATTTAAGTCACCAGTCCATTCAATATCTCTGAAAAGGTTGTGGATTCATACATAAGAGATGTCCTACCTTGGTAAGGCACTGCATTGATCAGATGACACAGAAGTCCCATCTTTGGTCTGGCAAAATATCTGTCTGTGCTGTACAGCCAATCGTGGTCCAATGCAAGGCCCATTACACTGTGAACAGAGAAGAATCACTTCAGGGAGGTAAAAGGCAGGGCCACGTTCCCATTTATAGGACTGCTAGGGAAATAAATGGTACACTGCCATTCAGTGACTGTTGAGATTTCAAGCACTTTCTGTACCTCTGCAGGCATTGAAGGCTGAGTGTGCAGTCATCTTCTGCTCTACCTCACTCTCTTCCAGCAGCACTAAAACTGTATCTGCTCTGTAGATTCGTTACCTCTCCTCTACAATAGTTCAATCTTACAATACATCTGCTAGGGCAAATTAAATGCTCTTGTGACATCAGCCAAGAGCCTACGATCCATACAGGAAATCTCAATACACTACTTTTAATGTGCATTTTGCAGCTTGTACTATCACAACTTATGGCCAAATAACTAAGAATGCATTGAACCAAGAACATATTCCACTCCATTTATTAACTCTAAAGCACTGAAGGACAACAAGCAAATGCAGCAAGCATGACAGACACAGCAAATGTGCAAGCTTGCTCCAGTACTGAGGCTATCCTAACCTGTTCAAATTTAACAATACATGTTTCTGTTTAACTTTTATAATTTCCTTCAATTAAAATGCAATTACCTATAGGTATGAAGCACTGTTTTTCTAAGTATCTGGAAATTACGTTCAAGAACAAACCGAGGGTTGAATAGTGGGATGTTACTGTGAGGCAGGAATTTTCACCAGGGGAGGGCTGCTGACTGATCCCTCTGCCACCTTCACCCCCTCATCAGTAGGAGCCCTGTTTCACATTACCACATACTTCTCAAAAAGTACTCCCTTACTCCTGCTATTTCTTCCTTCCCTGACAACTGGGAAGAGAAGCAGTGACTGCCAGGTCTCCAGCTGGTCCTAGTCAACGCTCTTGCTGGAAATATCATTGACTGGAGCACTTCTGCGGTATCTGCAGGGGCCAGCAGTCCTTACCACCATCAAGCCTGAGTCACTAGTTTAAAAACAGTATGGGATTACATAGTGGAGACCAAAATGCCAGTAACATTCAATGAAGGAAAGGAATTAAATTCTAGAGGTGAGGGTAGAGTATGTAGTCTGTTGATTTTCTTTGCAAACTAGGAAAGTTGGTCACTACACGAGGGCAACAGAGACCTGATACCTCACTAGACTATCAAGGAAGTCACTGAGTCAGTGATATGTTCCTAACTGTGTAACAGTCTTCTGGCTTGGAGACTGAGCAGTATAGAATCATGTGGAACTTATTTTTTTTTTTGTTTTGTTTTAAACTAGGTAGAAGAAATACTATATGACAATGCACAGAGGTTAGGTCTAAGAAATTATTTCTGAATTGATTGTCTCAGCTGAGTATGATGTCATGGGGAATAATACATATGTTCTACATAATGCTCTACAAATATGGAAGAGGTAATTGTGTTTTTGCAAGGATAATCCAGTCCTTTCCTGGAATTCCACAGGGAGTGAAAATTTGCTTCTTTCACACGAAAGGATAACTTCAAGCTTTACTCATAAATGTAATACAATAACTCAATTACCTTTCAAGAGTTAAATGAAGTTGTTTTCAACTAGTGAACAATAACATGAACAAAGTAATAAAACTTAATGCAACACAATCTGCAAAGAGAGAATCTGAAGATCTGCAAAGCAGCATGAAGTAATCTTAAAATGTTTCTAGCCCTCCATTCTGCATTTCATCATGAAGCAAATCAAGAAAGCTCACAATTTTGGGCATTCTCAGGCAACACTAGCAACTTTGTAAAACTGGGTTATTATAAAATCTTTCTGCCTCAAACCTATCACAATCCTGACTCCTGCCAGCCAAAGAGTCACTGGCTGGTAAGATGACTTAAGACTTAAAGAAAGCTATTTCCCAATGTGTCATCTGTCACTATAAGAAGGAACTGCAGACCTTTCCACTGGGGATGATACGGGGTTTGCAGTAAATGTCCTGTTCACAAGCAGCATTTCTAGGGAAGCTACAGAAATCCAAGCAGGTCATCATACACAGAGTTGTAAGAGCTGAGCAAATTAGTTGCCTCCTCAAAAGTCTGCAAACTATAACCTAAAGACACCAGGTTGCAGAATCACTTTACTTATTTTCTGTCTCTTTCTCCTAGTCCATAGTACGAGGCTGTCCTTGGACTGCTGCATTGTTCCTTACCTGGCTCCAGGAGGAGGCCACCCACTCAACACAGGGCTGCCTGTTACAGTTCTGTGTGTCCACAGGGCGCCTGGACACCTGGGCACAAGCCTCATTTGACATTGGGACAGAGCTGCCTTTTGCTGTCAGGCGCTGACAGGTCACTCGCCGCATCTGGATGCCTCCACCGCAGCTCCGCGTGCAAAGAGACCATGATGTCACCATCCATCTGTGAGAGAAAAGGGAACAGGTCAGGGAGCAGGTATGTGCCACCATCTGCAGGATAACTGGCATCATCAGGTCTTTATATATTGGGCCATTGGGCCATAGACAGGCAACAATAGCTTGGTTCATTTAGGGGGTGATCCTTGAAGGTACTGAGTGTCTCAGCCTCCCATAGTAGTCACTGAAAACTTCTCAGAAGATGAGAGCTGAGAAAAAAGCACAATTTTCATTAATTTATCTTTCTCAGGGCTCTTTGGACCTCCAATTAATTTTTTAGCTCTTAAGGCTGTTTTTAGAGGCTTGGCACAGGGTTTGCGCATGGCTGCTCTTACACCACTGTACCACAGACACCTCGGTCAAAGGCTGCAGTCACCAATGCCAGCAAGGACTAGCCCAACAGCACCCCTTAATAGGGAAAACTACCTCTGTAAAGTTGCTGGGGCAGCTCACAAGTCACTTTGAACTTCCTGCTGAGAGAGTAACAAAAAGTCTGGTCCTGCTGGTGCTTGCCTGCTCTGTTAAACCCCCGACAGCTAGGACAATCCAGAAAAGCCTAAAGATTGCTCAGGGATGGTCAGCCCAGGGGACAAAAGACACTGTTTTCCTTTCCTCTTGACCTCAGACCATGCATTCACTAGCTGAGGCTGAGGTTCTGAACCCCTGTGTAGTGGCATTTAAAAAATCTAGTCTAACTAGCTAAAAGGCTGTAACAACAGAAAATAATAGTCCTATACATTTTGCTACTTTAAGGATCATTACGTGAAACACTCATACAGTTAAGTTTGCGAAAGAGTTAGGAATAGGAAGAATGTAACTGATTGCTAGTTTCCTGAACAGTTTTATAGTCAAGTCAGAGGTTTGCTTCATTAAGCGTCTGGATCCTGGGCAGGATTTGTGTGGTTTGGTGAGTAAAATAATACCTATCACATCCCTCCCCTAAGTGTTTATGATCACTTTACAAAATAGGCAATAGGCATTCTCCAGTCCCATGGAGAGGTGTTCATTTCTATTTCTCAGTCTTTTGCCGGTGATTAATTCCCATGGTCACAAAAACAGGCATAAACAAACATACTCTCAACATATACAATAAAAACACTGACACTTTTTTTGAGCAGTTTGGTGAGGTGGAACCTTCAATTTCTGCACTGGTCATAAAGGTCTGCTCTGCATGCCAATCAACTTTTATTTCCAAGCTTACATCTCAGCAGTTTCTCAGGAGTTGAGGGAGGATTTTGGGTTGTGTTACAATTCGGGGAAGGTATAAAAAAGACACAAACCATTCCCATGGAATTTATTGCCATCAAAAACTGCTGCTAATGAATGGGTTTCATATTTCATCAAATCTCTTTTGGTTTCTTTCTTATGACTCAACTGGCAACTGAGAAAACATTTGCCTGCAAAGAAGGGTAGGAATATATTTTAAAAGCTAATTAAACAGAAATGTGCAATATACCCAAGACATAGAAAGAGTGGTGAATCTGGCCACTTCTCCTTGAGTTGCTTAGCACCTCTCCTTGCCTAAGCTTAGACTCTTTTTTTAACACAAGTCTCAAATCACGGTTGAATGAGGGAAGTCGTACATTTCTCATGAGATCCTGACTTCTTCTAAGTGCTTGTATACTGAAACAGACCAAATCCACATTGGAAATAAGGGAGAGGAGGGAGTGAAAACACAGAAAAAAAACCCATTTACACATCTCAGCGAAGGAGATACTGAATTGCAGAAGCATGACATTTTTAATAAGCAGGGGCCATAACACTACACTGACTCTTTGGATAGGCACTCAGGATGTATTCTTCTTTGCACCAAAGGCTGTCAAACAACGAAAGGTTTTGTGTGGGGTAAAATCATTGAAGCGTTTAGGTTGGAAATGATCTTAATATCATCAAATCCAACCATTAATCCAGCACTGCCAAGTCCACCATTAAACTGCGGAGGCACAGAAAAGAAATGATTTCTACCGCTGGAAAGAAGACCACAAAAAATACTAAAAGGACTCTTTATTTATTGCCACGGACATGGACGTTATTTATCCGAGTATTTATGGACAGTTTTAATAGTTTTTAATGTATTTAATATTTATTATAAGAGTTATATTCATATTTATATTGTAAGGTTTTATTCCCC